CACCCCTTCATCTTTCTGATTTTGAGTCTGAAGCTCTTTCTACAAAATGCTTTCTGTAACTTCAGTCAGAGGGATTCATGGATGAAGAAGAGTATCTTCTAGGAAGAGATTTCCCCAGATTCACATGCCTTTGTCTACATCACTAGGCTGCAGTAGCTGGGCCTTTCAAACTGCCTCCTTGTGATGAAAGAGCCAAGTGGTACCCTCCTGATGTCTTGCTGATTAATGCTACCTTCCTTGAAAAAAGGGACTAGAAACAAAATCACAGCAGTGAGAGCAAACATATCAGTTATGACAGTAAATAAATGTGACTTACACCCTTATACTTCAAAACAAAGACGTGGCCTGGGACCAAAAAAAAACACACAAAAATTAAAAGGTACTTCATTTTTTATATATAACTATGATCTCATTAAATATACACAAGCAAGAAAGATGATAAGAAATACACCAAAATGCTAACTATGGTTCTCTCCTATTAGTGGGATTTTATTAAATTTTACTTTCTGAATTTTCTAAAAATTTGCAAAATGACAAAAATAAGCATATTTGTTTTCATAATTATAAAATATTTAAAGATAGGTTATTTAACTTAGGACAATAATCATAGTTTTCATTGAGAATAAATTGAACCCATAAAAAATCTGAAATTCGTGGATGAGGTTTCTAATTGGCTCACCTTTCAGGGCTTCCACTCTTGGGCCAGAGGTCGGTGACATTATATTAATGAAAGAGCTTCCACTGGATGCATGGAGGAATATGAATGACTCTGGAGCAAGGATGCTGGCAGACAGTTCCTCGAGCATCCACTGTAGATGCTCTGGCCTTCCCAGCTGGCATCAAATTAAGAGATTGCTCCTATTGGCCTTGAAACACCCAACCCTCTATGGCCTTTATGGAGTCATGATGGAGCATTCATCCTATGGTGCTCAAGCACAGAAATGGGTTTCTTCATAATGTCCATGGGGCGCCACTCCTACTAGGGAAGGCTGGGTGCAGGGCTCATACACAGCCAGGAGGTCCCACATCAACACCTAACTAACCCACTCTGGCATACCCACCCTCCTCCAAGACTCTATGAAATACCATATTGGCACACGTGGACACATTTCTGTCTAGGTGTGGAGTTCCTTCACTTGAAGAGGAATGCCCCACTCCTCAAAACACATACCACGTGTACACATGCTACAACACATGTGAAGGCCCTGCCTTCCTTACACTGTAGCTTTTGGTTACCTAGTGGTTCACCTGCTAAGCTCTCATCCCCCCTCCCTCAGGCCTTATCAGCCACTGAACCTCCTAGATCACCGACTTCATCTCCTCCATCTTACATTGCATATTTTACCTCTAGGCAATTTGATACTGTATCTCCATATAAAAGACCCTTATCTCTCCGCTGGTAACTAATTATAACAATTTGGTAATTATTTACATCTAATATGCACCCTCTATATAAAACTGATTGTACATTATTGATAAAATTCCACAAATCATGTGCCCTATTTTTGCAAATGCCATAGAGTTTCCATCGGCAATCTCAAATGATTATACTAGGTAGACTAGGAAATTTTCCCGTTCATTTGATTCCTTTTATTTTTTTAAGAACTTTAAAGGAATTACTTGGATATCCCAGTTTTTTAGGTAAAAATTATTACACAGTGGTTCTCAAACATATGCTTTTTCTTTTGCATATATAGCATGCAGATTTTTCAATTCCATCTAATAAGAGCTACAGGTTAAAACAATAGCCTACACTTATCTGCTTGAGCCACTAGGTGGTGCACACATATGTCAGGGAACTAGGTTAAATGGGCTTGTGACCAGACCTAATTCATCACCACAGGACAGGTGGCACAGACAGTAGGAGGAGCTGTGGGGGTCAAGAAGAGACAGCAATCCTGTGGATGGAGGGAGTCAAAGAAGAAGGTCTCCCAGAGGAGGTGGCTAGGCAGCACTGCTAGCTGCAGAGACGGTGAGAGCAAAATCATAAAGGAAAGACCCCCAAAGTTACAGCAGAGAGAAAGTCCTGGAGAGGAAGGAGCATGTTTGCTTTCCATGCTCATTAACTCCTGCCTAACAGGAGTAGTCAAGTCATTTGAATTAGAAATCAAACATTCCTCCAGGCTTTGTGCTGGCACGGGAGACATTCAGATGAAAGGACATAGTCTTGTCTTTGAGTAAGGACCTTGTGAGAAACAGAAGGAAGCAGTCAATTAAGATAGAGCATGCTACAAAAGGTATGTTTTAAAAGATGCGTTGGAAGAACAAAGCAAAATGCTCATTCTGCTCTGAGGAAGGGAGAAAAGAGGGTTCGGTTTGGTGTGCAGAGACGACCTCCTGGAGGTCTTGGGAAGTAAGAGGGATCTCCACAAAGATGGTGAGAGATTAAGCTGGGCTGGGAGCCAGCCTGAGCAAAGGCGTGGGGGTTTGAGAGGATAAAGTGGATTTCAGGAATGGCTTAGTTGAGTTTAAGTAAATGTTTACTGAGGGCTCCCCTATGGACTGTACAATAGATGTTCCAGAGCCTCAAGATGCCCCTCGACTAGTGAGGAAGACACACATAAAAATTGCAACGTAAAAGAAAGCTTAAAATGTGGCCCCTTTTAAAGTCTGACTGTCCTCTGTGCCCCTCATGTCCTGGCTACAGGGATTCTCTGCACCAGAAGAGGGAGCCCACAAGCACATTGTCTGGTTGCCTTTGACTGGAGTCAGGGAAGGTATCCCAGTCTCCCTCTCCCTCACTCATCTCAGAGTTTGAGGCCAGAGGCATAGAGTAAGTTATCCAAAGCCACACAGAGGTATGTCCAGGTATGTCTGCCTCCTGCCAGGTGTTCTTCCATTTTTCCCTGCTGGACTCTGGACACAGAGTCACCCTTCAGAGATAGCTCTGAATTGGGAAATAGACACTTTTCAGATAAATAGATCTTCATCGCCAACAGCAGTCATAAAGTCAAGCTGCGGAAAAATAGAAGGACACGTTGTGTGCTTTCCGCATGCATGAGGAAAGTGCCCGGCCACACAGCTGGCCTCGGCAAAGGCAGCTTGTACTGCTGGCCTAATTCTGTATTTGGGGAGGAAGCGGTCTGGCTCTGGCGTTCCTTCTAGCCCATGGGCGTGTTTATTTCAGCATGAAGATATATGCTCACAATGTGGGCTTATGGCACCTTGGAATTGCTTTGTTTGCTTGGAAATGTCAACTGGAAGGAGCTGTGAGCTGGCGGGAAACAGGGATGTGCAACTGAGAAGGCCACATAAGGACACAGACCTGCGTTTAGGCTGAGAAGTCACAGAAGCAGGGGTGGAGAGGTCTTGAAGAAGTTCTGACTTGGACAGGTCAAAGTTAAATGGAAGAGGAGGGTGACCACAAGAGCAAGGAGACTGGAGGCCAGGTCTTGTGAGAAAAGGACAAAGTAATTGGGAATAATTAGCCTGCAGAGAAGAAACACAGGTCTGTCCAAACTGTTGTCATGGGGTGAGGCAGCTGGAAAGTAATGATGTTATAAGAAAGCAGGTTTCAACTCAGCTCAAAGTAGAGCTATCTGACTGATAGATAGTGAGTTCCCCATCAAGAAAAGGGCTGAAACAGAAGCAGTTTGTACAAGTAGTAGGGACATTACAGAGGGGATTCCTGTTTTGATAAAGGTCAGACTCAATGACCGTTGAGTTCTAAATCTCCATAATTCTATGAAAAGGGAAGAGGTAGCTTATATAAACCAAGGGTCCCATGGCATATAATTATAACAGCATCAATACTAAACATGTCTTTTTATTGAGCTCCTATGAAATGCCTGGCATCATCATAGTCATTTATGTGCATTGTCATATTTTGTTCTTTCAAGCCAGGATTAGACTAACTGAATTCTGGCCCTGCCATTTAATGAAGATGTGGTCTTGGACAGATCATTTCTCCTCTCTGAACCTCATGTCCCTCCTCTGTACAATACCAATTCTGTAGGATTGCTAAGAGTATAAAAGGAAATGATATATCAAAGTATCTGGTACTGTGCCTGACTTACAGTTGGGACTCAAAAACTGTTGCTGCCTTCCCCTTCTGCTTATGCAGAATTTCAGGATGCCATTCTTGGAGAGAGATGAGATAAAGAGGGAAATGCAGGTAAGGTGAAATATGTCAAAGAATCCGTTAGGTGAAATACCAGATAATCAGAATCTTTTGCAATGGGGAGCCTGTAGCAATGGTTCTCAAAGTGGAGCTTTTTGGGCCCCTTTTAAGGGAAAAAATGCAGATTTTTAGTACTATTTATGTAAAATCAAATGTAGGAAAAAGAAAGAGGTAGACTGGGACTTAAGTCTTTAAGAGAGTTGCTCACCATTGCCCCACGCCCGACCACAGTACCCACTTTTCCATCCTCAGGTTCCTATGACATCCAACCCAGAACAGAGTTTCCCCACAAGTATGCTGTGATAGGGGCAACCCTCCCTAAATGTTAATCACCTCAACCCTTGGGGTACCCCCGGCTAGTTGCCTCCAAACATATGTAGTCTCATCCATCTGGCTTAGTATGCCCAACAAATACTACTTTCTTTGAATGTTGTGTGGTACAAAGAGATGAGGATTCAGTTAGAGAAGGAATAGTTGGATCATCAGTAATTGGAATTGTCATGGCATTGCTGAGCAAATTCAAGTAAAGTAGCCCAGGAATATCTTGGTTAGAAAGGCGTATCAGGAGACTAACAGTGATGTAAGGACCCAAGACAAAGAAAATCGCCAGGATGTCAGCCACTTACCCAGTGTAGCAGGTGTGAGCAAAGGCAAATGAGCCCGTGGCTTTTCCCTAAGCACAATACAGGTTTGACTAGAAGACCTCAAAGACCCACTTAGCTCTGACCATCCAAGGACAAGCAGAAAGCCGCCCGTTCCCTTTGTCTCTGCAGAATCATGAGTGAGCACCAATTTATCTACAATGTACCCTGTTGACCTGCTAAGCACAAGTCGGTCTCTGGCTCAAATCAGGGCTCTCACAGTGTGTTTTCTTTTGCAGCAACAGCGGCAGCTTGATCTCCTAACAATAACCAACCCCGGTGAGTAGATGTGGCCATTGTGCTTTGGCTTTTCCCTTATCTCCCAGAGTGCTGTCCGATTGTCTATCCAAATGCAGCTCCTGCCTGCCTCCTCTGATTCCCCGAGTGGACAGCAAAATTCTTTCGCGCCGTGAACACCCCTTCTCCCCCGACCCTCTGTCCCACAGGCTGCGCCTTTTCTCCCTCCCAGCTCTTGCTGCCTCCTCTTGACTCTGCTGATGGCCAGGCTAATGCTCGGATGTGGCTGCATATTCCAGGGTCAGGTTCTCAAATCACTCAATGAACTCAAGTGTCAAGACAGTGTCCTGGCCTCCTGAGAAATAAGTTTTAAAGCCATGGGGACTGCCTGTAGGTGGCATGGGATGGAAGGAGGATGGCTCATGAAGAAGGATTAATCTGGGAAAGTGACCAGCTTTGGTCTGTGCTGAGGGTCAGGATGACTTTTCTCGTACCTTCATAAGGAAAGGTCGAGGTCTCCAATACAGCTGTGGCCATGGCAGTAAAAGGCCCTTTCTTTCCCCTAATCCTGGCATGTAGCCTAGAGAGAGATAGAGCTATTTAGTTTTGCCAGAAAGGGATTTTAGTTTAGTTTGAGAGGCAACTGGCCAACAAGAGATGCTGTTCTCTCTTGGGATCCAAGGAAGTGATGGTGCCAGCAGGGTGAAGGAGCATTCAAGAGTAGCTATGGTGATTCATCTTCATTCATTGGTGATAATCAAAATATTTAACAGCCTGGTGACCCCCTGCTGTGTTAGACTTTACACTTGGTTTACTGGTCTGTGGGGAGATGGGGTCCTGGGAGAGGGGCCAGTGTTGCAGAGTGTTTGGTTGTATGGCAGGGTCAGCAGGCTCTGGGTGGCTAATTGCCAATAAATATGGAGATATGTCAGTATTTCAGTAACCAGTAGGCCTGTTCCATGGCATCCCTGCCTTCCATCAAGCTTGTTATGCAGTTGGCTCTCCTCCAAGGAGACTGAGAAAGTGCCCTCTGCAGGCTCCGTCCCAGCACAAAGGCTCTTCTTCCTCTGGTCTCTGTAACTGACATCTATGACAGTGACAGCAAATGTAAGCTGGGTTCACCCAGTTCAGGAGACCTTGCTGCATTTCCACCAGAGAGAGCTTTTTGAACTTGGGACTTTAGAACAAAGATGAATGCGTTTGAATAATGTTTAATCTATCCATAGAGTGAGCTATGTTTAACATAAATTCAAAATCATAAGCTAATATAAATAGAGTGGCTCAGTCAATAGTGTGACCTACCAGTTTCTCCCACTGAACTGCTGGTGAGGGACTACCTTTGTTCCATCCTGTTTGGTTCTCTCTGTCTTATCCTGCTCCACATGTGCCGACCCAGGTCACCTGCGTTCACCTCCTAGTCTTATTGGGCCACACCCTGTTATGGTGCCAAAGTATGAACTGTAGAGGGTTCTTAACCTGTCTGCAGTTGCATTACAAGAAAAGTTTCAGGCTAACTGCATTTCTTTTGCATTAGCTCCAGCTCTTCCCAGCTGCTAGTGCACAGATTCAAGCAATAGCATGACTCCCAGTGCACTGCTTTCGGGCATCAATGGACTTACAAAATGCTAAGTGCTGCTGATTTAGAACAGTCTATAATTTACTCTACTTTTAGATAAGAAAAGATGTGTGTTATGGCACACTGGTCTACTGTAAGTAGGCTAGACTTGAGTGATGTTATGGGATATACACATGGACACATTGTTCCACTCAGCTCTCTTAGGCACCAGTAGGACCTGAGGAGCTGGATCCCCAGAGTGGTAGGTAGGCTTACCCCAGCGTGCCGGACAAATAGGATCCGTGTGCGCCATGACTCGGAAAGCTTAGGAAGTGCCATTAGACCTTGTATTATCTGGACAACTCTAGTCCATGCAAGAAGCACTTTCCTCTGTTGTTATTAGCTGTCTCTGACTGTTAAAGTCATCCCCCGCCTCCCTCACCAGAAGCTGCAGCAGCCTGCAGTGGGCCTCCTACCTCTGGGACTGCAGCGGGAGGTCCTGGCTTGTCTGTACTCCTCCTAGTCCCTCCTCAGACAGAACTGCAGTCTGATGCTGCCGTTCCTCATAGACCGAGCCTTTGAAACTGCTGGTGGGGGATTTGGGAGCCTTTTCAATCTGTGTTATCTTCTTTACACTCTTATTTTCTCTATTGTGAATAATTTCATACATACAGAAAAGAGTAGAGATATAATGAACAGCCATTTACTGCCCCTCTCCCCCAACACCTTGGCTTTATCATATCAACATTGTGCCTTTTATGCCAGTGGGTCTCCTATTTTTAAAAATGTGTAAATCTGGTTGAGACTTTTCTCTATGAATACCTGACCCCATCTCTCTCCCTCACCCTATAGTTAACCACTGTAATGAGTTCAGTGTTTCTTCATACTTATGTATCCAATTATATAACTGGTGTTCTTTTACAGATTCCTTCAAATGGTGTCACATTATAAAGTTACTCTGTGAATTTCCCTCTGCTCTTTATTATATTATAGAGACTCATTCATATAGATACATATAGCTCTACTTCATTCATTTTAACTGCTATATGGCATTCTACAAATGATTAGATCACAATTTACTTATCCATTTTATTGATCATAATTTGGAATATTTCCAGTTGTTTTGCTACTAAGCATTTTTGTGCATCTCCATTTATGCATAACTTTGAGAATTTCTCTAGGTCATATAGCTAGGAGAGGAATTATGGAGTATATGCATTTTCAAATATATATCCTTTTTATATATCCTAATATATAAAAAGCTAAGGGCAATCATGACCTAAATGACTGGATGGACGACTGAACAGCAGGGGGTCCGCAGTGGGGGCGGGGCTGCGGTGGAGGCCTCTCCATACGCCTGTGCCTGGGGTCTGGTTCAAGTCCGGGATTGTGAGAGGGTGAGTGAGAATGACATAGGCTAAGGGACCAGCAGGGGGTTAGTGGGGGTGGAGTTGATCTTGGATGAGCAGGGAGGTGAGGCTGAGCAGAGGGCAGAGCCCTGCCCAGGAGGCCTGTGTTCTGGGTAAAGAAGCCATAGGAGAGATTAGTCCAGGGGATGACACAGGTCTTCGGCGTTGTAGAAAGAATAACTTCAGCCATCGAAGATCAAATTGTACACCGCAAATGCTTTTTCTTGGATGGTCCAGGTGGTAGTGGAAAAACCTGTCTTCATAAAGTTTTAATACATTATATTAGAGGTCGTGGTGGTACTGTTTTACCCACAGCGTCTACAGAAATTGCTGCAAATTTACTTCTCGGTGGAAGTACCTTTCATTTCCAATATAAATTACCAATTCCATTAAATGAAACTTCAATTTCTAGACTTGATATAAAGAGTGAAGTTGCTAAAACCATTAAAAAGGCCAAACTTCTTATTATTGATAAATGCACCATGGCATCCAGTCATGCTATAAACGCCATAGACAGATTACTAAGAGAAATTATGAATTTGAATGTTGCATTTGGTGGGAAAGTTCTCCTTCTCAGAGGGGATTTTCGACAATGTCTCAGTATCGTGCCACATGCTATGTGATCAGCCTAAGCAATGACCAAACTACCGTTGATTGGTTGCTATGATGTGCACTGACCACCAGGGGGCATATGTTCAATGCAGGAGCTGCCCCCTAGTCGTCAGTGCCCTCCCACAGTCAACCTCCTGCAGCCCCTCCCCCAGGCCGGCCGTTCCCCCCTCCCCCAATCGGCCCTGATCGCCAGCCAGGCCAAGGGACCCCACCCATGCACTAATTCATGCACTGAGCCTCTAGTTTACTACATAAAGGCCAACTGTTTTCTAACATAGTTCAACAAAGTTACACTACACTTCCAACAGCAAAGTATAAGAGTTTCCATTTCCCTGACTCCCAAACATGGAATTGTGGGACTTATACATTTTTACTAGTCATCATAAAAAATGTGAAATGGTACCCGTTGCTTTGATAATATGTGTTTCCCTGATCACTGGTGGGGGTGAGTATCTTTTCATACATTTATTGTCCATGTTGATTTATTCTTCTGTGAAATGACTTTTCATAATTTTTATTGTTTTTTTAATTTTTATTTATTTGTAGTTCTTTATCATTTTGAACAACTATACTATTTTGTCATTTATATGCATTGCCAATATCCTCTCCCAGACTGTGGCTTGTATTTTTCACTTGATTTATGATACAGTTTGATATATGGAAGGTTTTTAATTTAATGTAGCAAAATGTATCAATCTCTTGCTTTATGAGCCTGTTTTTGTGGCTTATTTAAGAAATACTTCCCTCCCTGGAAACCTATATTCTCCTGTATTGACTTCTAAGAATTGTCAAGTTTTGTGTCACATGAGTCACATGAGCACTTTTATTTATTCTCTATTATTCCATAGGATATGGGAGAAAGCAAGCTTTCAGCTGCTACTGCCTGATCCTACATCCAGATCCTAGCAAGCTAGTGGCCTCAGGATCATTCATCCTTTCACACTTCTGTGCATTTAGCTTCATGCAGATATTTCTCTCACAATGAAGCCCAACTAGGTATTTCATTTCTTTTGATATCTTATTCAATATTACTATTTGATGGAAATGAATCAGCTTATTGAAGCAAGAACTTATGTAGCCATTTGATCCAGAAGTCCAACTATAGTTTCTTCCTTACTTTTTGGAAATTTTATTCTCCTTATAACCTAATCAAGGAAGAAAGGCAGTATGAGGAAGTATTATTTTCAATCCAAGTAAAACCCTAACCACCAAACTGAGAAGAGAAACTGTTATTTTCTGCACATGTGTGT